CTGGCATTTCTTGGCCAGTTCAAGGATCAACATGTCCACAGGCAGGTTGAACTTGGTCTTGGACTTATTGAAGTCCTTCTTGTACAGAGCGTCACTGGCGATCTTGGCTGAGTTCAGAGCCAGCATGAGCAGAGGGTCGTCCTGGACGCAGCGGGCGCCGATGTGGTGGCCGACCTGCTTACGGTATCCGGTCTTGTACTTGTACTGATGGAAGCGGAAGAAAAAAAAGTTTATCATACAACTTTTGGTTTTAACATTTTATTTAAGAATTAGTCAATTATCAAATGGACACTACAGTGTGTGGGACTTACATCACTGATGATATCCCTGGAGGTCTTAGCAGCCTTGACAGAAACTGCATCTGGAGGAAGGAAGTAGCCTTTTCTGATGGTTTCCTCAAAGCCTTGTTTGTACAGTTTCTGTAGAAAAATAAAAAAAATAAATGTGTTAAGAAATAATTTAATATGACATTAACACACCCCTTCTGTTTATTTTATTTACCACATATGCACTCATATGTGGTTTTATATGAGTTTTGTTGCATATATCTCTATAAATATTGATACCACTTTTACTCATGTCACTAAAGTACATGCTGTATTGTTTATTTAGTATCTTGGCCTTAATTTAGGAATGTAACCATGTCTATAGACTCTAGTGCAACAACTGTATCTGAGCAGTATCTCAAGACAATGTAAAGTAAATTGGTAAACGCAACTGGAAGAGACGAGATTAGAAATTAAGGCAAACATACAACTGATTATCAAAGCAGCAAGAAAGAAATAGTTCTGCAAATATTTATGGAATTCAAGGAAAGATTTGCAGATTGTTTATATTATTTGTAAAAGAGATCATACTAACCTTGCTCATGTTGATGGCATTTTGTTGAGAGAGGACAATTTCAGGAGTGTCAGGCTGGATGTGCAGCTTGGTCTTTTCGTTCTCCCATGCCTCATTGTAGAGGCGCTAGCAGCATAGCACACAACATTAGCATTGTTGTGAGCAACAATGAAACCATAAATGGTCGTACGAATCCACATGAAGGTCAGGTTTACCTTGTTCATTGTCATCGCATTGTTCTTTGCCAGCACAATGTTCATGGCATCGATGGGACTGGTGAATTTTACGGTGCTGGGGTGCTGGCGGTACTTCCTGTCACTCAGAACCTCTGCAGCTTTCTTGGCTTTCTCCACATCCAGCGAACCAATGGGGACCCAGCCCAGACCCTGGAGCCACTTCAGGTCGGCTTTGTAGACGGCCTGGAAAACACAGCAGGCACAGTTTGCAGAATTTGCGTAGCGAAACGAGATACATGAATGAGGGAAATTACAAGTACCACATACGTCACTCTGCAGGTCGTATGCATGCCTGGCCTGGACGACGTCAGTGGAGTCTGGAAGACAGGTCCACTGGTGCAGGCGAGTCCTGTAGTTGACGTCATTGACCTGGATCTGGCATTTCTTGGCCAGTTCAAGGTTCAACATGTCCACTGGGAGGTTGAACTTGGTCTTGGACTTGTTGAAGTCCTTCTTGTACAGAGCGTCACTGGCGATCTTGGCTGAGTTCAGAGCCAGCATGAGCAGAGGGTCGTCCTGGACGCTGCGGGCGCCGATGTGGTGGCCGACCTGCTTACGGTATCCGGTCTTGTACTTGTACTAGACAAAAAGGGGAAGCAGCGTAATAGTTACCAATCAAACCCAGTAACCAGGGTTTGATTTATAATAAGAAGCTTTGATTTAAAAAATTATCTATTTTCCAAATACTTGTCGTTTAAGAGTAACTTACATCGCTGGCAATGTCTCTGGATGCTTTGGCTGCAATAATGGAAATGGCGTCACCGCGCAGGTCGTAGCCTTTCTTTTTGGAATCTTCATTCGCCTGTTTGTATTTTTTCTGTAAACAGAAAAGGGAGATGTTTCTACAACGTAAACGTAAAGCCAGAACTTGTTCGCACCGTCTGTTTAGCTTGAACATACCACACTGTAGATGACATTGTTTGCTTTGGCCAGAAGAACGTCCATAGCGTCAGGCATGACATGGATCTTTGTCTTTTCATTCTCCCAGGCTTCGATGTAAGCTTTCTGTGATCATAGAAACCAACAATCACGAGAGATCAACAAACAAGGGAATTTTGCGTAACATATGATTTAATGTGATTTCTTAATGAATAGCAAAAGAGAATAGTTTTGTTTCTGACCTTGTTCATAACTTGAGCGTTGGCCTTTGCTAGTGCCAGGGGCATATCCTCAGTAGTGCTCTTGAATCTGAACGTGCTCGGGTGTTGACGATAGCTCCTTTCACTTAGAATCTCATTAGCTTTCTTCGCCTTCTCAACATCCAGGGAGCCTATTGGCACCCATCCAATACCCTGCATCAACCTGAGGTCCTCCTTATACACAGCCTGGACAAAAAACAAACAAACAGAAGTCAGGTATTAAGCAGTCACTTCAATAATAAACAAAATGGGTATGTATTTAAAGCAAAATTATGAAACGGGACTCTTACATCACTCTGCAGGTCGTATGCATGCCTGGCCTGGACGACGTCGTTGGAGTCTGGAAGACAGGTCCACTGGTGCAGGCGAGTCCTGTAGTTGAAGTCGTTGACCTGGATCTGGCATTTCTTGGCCAGTTCAAGGTTCAGCATGTCCACTGGGAGGTTGAACTTGGTCTTGGACTTGTTGAAGTCCTTCTTGTACAGAGCATCACTGGCGATCTTGGCTGAGTTCAGAGCCAGCATGAGCAGAGGGTCGTCCTGGACGCTGCGGGCGCCGATGTGGTGGCCGACCTGCTTACGGTATCCGGTCTTGTACTTGTACTGCAAATGAAGAACAAGACATTGTAGATTGAACAAAATCAGAAAAATATATTACTTATATTGAAAGGCTTAAGGAATGTCGTTCCAACATCAAAAAGCTGGTAATGAGTTATAATTAAATTATCTTACATCACTTGCAATATCCCTGCAGGCTTTTGCTGCAATAATGGAAATGGCGTCATTTCGGAGGTCATATCCCTTCTTCTTTGCCTCTTCGTTTGCCTGCTTGTACGATTTCTGCATAAACAAGCAACAATTATATCTTTAGGTATCTTTTTTTTAAAGTATATAAAGCAAATACTTCAAAATTTAGAGCATAACGTTTTGATTGCATGTAAAATGACTCACCTCGCTGTAGATGACTTTGTTTGCTTTGGCCAGAAGAATGTCCATGGCATCAGGCATCAGATGGATGGTGGTCTTGTCTTTGTCCCAGGCTTCAGTATAAGCTTTCTGTAAAGTTTTTAGATTTATTTAATACAGACAAAAGCTGCTTTTCAAAAAAAGAATTGACTTCATAATTAAGTTAAAGCTCTGCAGAACAGCAGTGTAGTTTAGCTCAGATTAACTGAGTTAAAGTCAATTCAGTTGTTGCTCAAGCAAAAGTAAAATAAATAAATAAAAACTATTTGATGTAAAAAGACTTGAGATAATCCGTCAAAACATTTGCCTTTACGCAGATGACACATGCATTATTTTAAGTTACAGATATTTTCTTCTGAGGCAGATGAACTCATTACATTTACCACATTAAAATGTGACATTAAAAAAACTATTTTGCTTTCATTTGTTGTAAAAAAAAAAAAAGGCTTCCTATTAATTTTAAATATTATTCTCACTATTTCTTTCCATGGGATGCCGTTATCTATCTTCCCTATGGTGGTTAAAAACAGTACAGGCAAAATATGTTGCTTTATACCTTGTTAATGATCTGATTATTAGCCTTAGCCAGCACCATTGGCATGTCCTCAGTTGTGATCTTGAATTTGTAGTTGCTCGGATGCTGGCGATATCTCTTTTCACTCAGGATCTGACCAGCAACTTTAGCCTTTTCAACATCCAGCGAGCCTATTGGCACCCAGCCGACACCCTGCAACATCTTCAAATCCTCCTTGTAGACATTCTGAAAAAAAAAAAAAAAGGTTATGTTATGGTACAGTGTCATCAGTTAAAAGAAACAAGAAAGGAAAATTTAAGTATTGATACTTACATCGCTCTGTATGTCGTATGCATGCCTGGCCTGGACCACGTCGTTTGCATCCGGCAGACAAGTCCAGTTGTGCAGACGCGTGATGTAATTGGCATGGTTGACCTGAATCTGGTTCTTCTTGGCCAGCTCAAAGGCCAGCATGTCCACAGGCAGGTTGAACTTGGTCTTGGACTTGTTGAAGTCCTTCTTGTACAGAGCGTCACTGGCGATCTTGGCTGAGTTCAGAGCCAGCATGAGCAGAGGGTCGTCCTGGATGCAGCGGGCACCGATATGGTGGCCGACCTGCTTACGGTATCCGGTCTTGTACTTGTACTGCACCGGGAACAGATGGAGATTCTCGTTTTAGTTTCTACACTCTAGTGACGGAACAAAACAAGACGTGTAACATAAAAACACAAACACTTACATCACTTGCGATAACAGTGGAGGCTTTGGCAGCCTGAACTGCAATGGCATCAGCACGAAGGTTGTGGCCCTTCTTCTTGGCCAGCTCGTTGTCCAGTTTGTACAGTTTCTGCAAGGTGAGAATGAACAGTTGTACTGACAGTTTAATGTGTTTTTATTTGTATTTCTGGTCAGATTGCATCTATCGCTTGTAACAAAAGGTAAGATAAGAAGTGTAGTAAATTAGGTTAATACCTCACTGTAGTTTTTCTTGTTCTCCCTAGCTAGAACAATGTCCATTGCATCCGGCATGATATGGATGCTAGTTTTGTCTTTATCCCAAGCGCTTGTGTAGGATTTCTACAACGGAGGGGAAAAAAATCAATTTTAGAAAAGTGAATTTGCTGCCATAGGAATCCAAAAGGATGTTGAATTTGTGAAAAGTTTTAAAACGTACCCTATCCATGATTTGGTTGTTGGCAGTGGCCAGAACCAGGTCCATAGAGTGCATATCTTTGGTGAATTTAAAGTTGCTGGGATGCTTCCTGTATTGCTTTTCACTGAAAGCCTGCCCCGCTGTTTTGGCTTTCTCAACATCAAGTGACCCGATGGGAACCCATCCTATTCCCTTAAAGTAGTTCTCGTACTCCTTCTTGTACTCATTCTGGAGTTAAACAAACACAGAAGAATCAGTTGTACCACCAGAACATACAACACAATTGATTACGTATGACTTTCTACATACGTCACTGGCAATAAACTGCATGTTGCGAGCGAGCGACAGGCCCATGGCGTCGGGAAGGAGAGCGTTGGTGTGCTGGATCTGTCTGTACCCGATCAATGTCTGAGCAGCGGAGGCCTGCTTGGCCTGGACCACACTCCACATGTCCACCGGGGTGTGGTACTTCAGTTTGGCCTTGTGGTAGTCCTTCTTGTAGTCCTTGTCGCTCTGTATCTTTGCCACTTGCATGTAGTGGACCAGGAGCGGATCGTCCTGGATGCTGCGGGAGCCAACATGGTGGCCTCTGGCCTTCTCGTAAGCCAACTTGTACTTGTACTGTAAGATTGGATAGAGATTTGTTTATAACATATGAATGTTTATAGAAAACTACATTTCTGAGTTGGTCCTCTAGTCTGTGTCTATCTTACATTGCTGGCAATTGTGGTACCAGACTTGGCAGCCACAATTGGAATTGCATCAGCTTTGAGATTGTAGCCCTTCTTGGCCATCTCCACAACGCCGGCTTTGTACAGTTTCTAGAGAAAAAGACATTAACATAAGGTTGTTTACAAAAAGCAATCTCTCATCTAGTACATATCGATTTGTTGTGTAAATGAATGGCTTACGTTGCTCATGGTCTGAGCATTTGCCTTGGCCAGGACAATTTCAGGAGAATCTGGCATGATGTGGATGGTCAGTTTGTCTTTATCCCAAGCAGAGGTGTACGCTTTCTGGGGATTTAAAAAAAACACACACACAAAAAAAACAAAAAAACACAGGAATAAAAGAAACATTTCTGGAAAAAGCTTACTGCTCATATTTTGTCACACAAATTTTAGTTAAGCTGCACCTTGTTCATGATCTGATTGTTGGCAGTAGCCAGGGCCAAGTCCATGGAGTCCATCAGCTTGCTGAATTTAAAGTTAGACGGATGCTGCCTGTACTTCCTGTCGCTCTGGATCTCACCCCCAACTTTAGCAGTTTCAACTCCAAGGGACCCGATCGGTACCCATCCCATACCTCTGATGAATTCGTTCCATTCAGATTTGTAATTGACCTAAAAACAACAAGACACCTCATAACACTCATCTGTTATGAAATTTAAAATGGTACATCTCACAAAAAAATAAATAAATAAATAAAAAAATGACACTAACATCACTGGACAGGACATTCATATGTCTGCACAGCTGCAGGTGCATGTTGTCGGGCAGAAGCAGGTGGCTGTGAGGAATCTTTCTGTATCCAGTCATGGTCTGAACGGTGGAGGCCTGCTTGGCTTGGACCACACTCAGCATGTCCACCGGGGTGTGGTACTTCAGCTTGGCCTTGTGGTAGTCCTTCTTGTAGTTCTTGTCGCTCTGTATCCTAGCAACCTCCATGTAGTGAACCAGCAGGGGGTCGTCTTGGAGGCTGCGGAAGCCAACATGGTGGCCTCTGGCCTTCTCATACTCTTTCTTGTACTGGACCTAAATAAAAAAAAATTTAAAATGACATGCAAAGTGCTGTGAATGCATTTTAATAGAATCTGATTGTTGTCGTTATATGATAAGTTACTACAGAAAATACATACATTGCTGGCAATATGTCTGCCGTGCTTGGCATGGAGAATGGGAATAGCATCAGGCTTCATGTCGTATCCCTTGGCAATGTCTTGCACCCATTGTTGCTTGTAGAGACTCTGTGAAAATCAATAGAATGGATGTATGGATGAATGAATTAATTTTTTTTTGCATTTTCCAACTGTGAAGAAAATATAAAACAAATTCCTTTTCGACAGGATGTAGGAACCCTGTAAATAAAATCTTTTGCTCTAACCTCGCTGATGGTTTGGGCGTTGAATTTAGCTTGGAGGAACTCCGGGCTGTCAGCTGGCAGATGATAGGTGTGCACGAATTTTTCACCAGATGCTTTGTACGCAGTCTACATAGAAGAAAATGGATATATTTTGCTAAAAGAAAAAAACATGAATGTGTTCGTGTTTTGGAAGAACTGAAATGATCGACAAACGGTTCCTACGTTGTCCATTAGCTTTGAGTTGGCCAAAGCCAGACACATGTTCATGTCGTCGGTCTTGCTGGTGTGCTTGAAGGAGCTGGGATGCTGGCGGTAACCTCTGTCATCCAGTGCAGCTTTGGCTGTCTTGGCTTTCTCGACATCCAAAGAACCAATCGGTACCCAGCCGATACCTTTGAAGTAGTTGTTGTACTCTGATTTGTAGACATTCTGTGGATTAAAAACAAAGAAACAAAAGCATAACACATAGGAGCATGACATGTGACATACTGTGCTAAAATCACCGTGTGATGTTACGCCGATGAGAACATACGTCGCTCTGAATCTCCATCATGTTGCGGCACAGCTGCAGGTGCATGTTGTCAGGCAGCAGGAGGAAGCTGTGTGGGACCTTCCTGTATCCAGTCATGGTCTGAACGGTGGAGGCCTGTTTGGCTTGGACCACGCTCAGCATGTCCACCGGGGTGTGGTACTTCAGCTTGGCCTTGTGGTAGTCCTTCTTGTAGTTCTTGTCGCTCTGCATTTTTGCCACTTGCATGTAGTGCACCAGAAGGGGGTCGTCCTGGAGGCTGCGGAAGCCAACATGATGGCCTCTGGCCTTCTCGTAAGCCAGCTTATATTTGTACTGCAGAAAAGCACAGTATTTATTAGCGACGTCACTGTTACGCTGAATGCCTCGGCAGTTAAACGTGAGCGTAATGAGAAACGTACATTGCTGGCAATGTCCCTTGAAGATTTGGCAGCTAAAACGGGAATAGCATCTTCCTTCACGTGATGTCCCTTGAGGATATCTTGGCGATGGGCGTAGGTGTAATAGTTCTGCACAAAAGCACAATTCAGAACAGTACAAACATAGCAACACTTTCATTTCTGTACGACGTATTGATTGAAAAGCGATGACACTGACCTGGCTGATGTTTACAGCATTGTACCTGGCTTGCATCAGTTCAGGGGTGTCGGATGGGAGATGGTAAGTGTGCATGAACTTCTCTCCACTGGCTTTATAATCTTTCTGCATTGTTGTGAATGAAGAGTTTGGTTTATGTTCATCTTATGAAAAAAAAAAAAAGAAGTCACAGAGTAAAACGAAGAGTTCCGATTTTTATCTCCTCACCACATTCATGATCTTGGCGTTTGCTTTGGCCAGCTCCATATTCATGGAGTCCGTAACACTGGTGAATTTGATTGTGGAAGGGTGCTGCCTGTACTTTTTCTCATCTAGAGCCGCCGCTGCCGCCTTTGCCTTCTCTACATCCAGGGAGCCAATTGGAACCCAGCCAGTTCCTTTCACCGAAGTCTCATAATCCATTTTATAGTAGTTCTGCCAAACATGACAAAGCAGAGAATTGTTAGAGTGGTTAAAGAGAACCATTTCACTAGATGCTGTATTGCAAATATTCCCAAAAGAAACAACTGGAACTTACATCGCTGACGTTGTAGTTCATGGTGCGAGCGAGCTGAAGGTTCATTGCGTCAGGCAGAAGGAAGTAATTGTGATGGTGCTGCTTGTAGCCGGCATATGTCTGCACGGCTGTGGCGTGCTTAGCATGGGCCATGCTCAGCATGTCCACCGGGGTGTGGTACTTCAGCTTGGCCTTGTGGTAGTCCTTCTTGTAAAGCTTGTCGCTCTGTATCTTAGCAACTTGCATGTAGTGGACCAGGAGCGGATCGTCCTGGAGGCTGCGGAAGCCAACATGGTGGCCTCTGGCCTTCTCGTAGGCCTTTTTGTAC